GACGCCGCCATTGCGAGGTTCGAATTGCAAAGGAAGCACCTGAAGATATCTTTTGTAAATACACGAAAGGATAATGATGATAAAAGAAGAACAAGGAGAAAAAGAAAATGATGAGGTGAAGGAGAAAATGTGTATGTGTATACATACATACATATTATATATATATATATATATATATATATATATATATATATATATATATATATATATATATATTAAAGTATATTCGACACCAGCTTCGGAAAGGGTCGTGTTCGAAACCTATGGTCGTGACTTCACATTTAAACGTTTATTCTGATTATCTTAACTTGTCACAGTTGTCTGCTCTCTTCAAATAAATACGAATCCCAAAGCGTGACGTTTCCGTGACGAAAGAAGATTACTCCCGAGATTTAATTACTGTTTCACAACGAAAGCCATTCGGCGGAAAACCCGCTGTTTTCAAAATAAGAATCTGTTTATAAATAGTCACAAGCTCCTCCTTTGGCCAAATATCGGGAAACGATTCTGAATAAAAATCTAATGATCAATTCTGATAGACATAAACAATAACATTCGTTCCTGTGCGAGTTATTTTCCAAACTACAAAATGTCAACACTTAGTCATTTGATTGGTATTTTTATTTCTATTTTCATCCTTAATCTCACTATTTTCATTATTACTTTTATCATTATTATCATTTCCATCAATTATTAGTAGTATTATAAAATTCCTTGTCGACGTTTTAAGTTTTCAGTTTGTACATTAATACCGTTAATTACAATAGGCCTACATATAAATTTTAACAATAATAACACAATCATAAGACGATGAAGATGATGACGATGATATTAAATTTATGTTTGTCTGTGTGGAAGTGAAAATAATAAACGCATAATGGTATTGGTAATAATAGGCTAAGACGAACCAATAGCGATACTGCTAGTTAAGTCATCAATAATAATAAATTGAACTAATCGTACGTATTTTTAAAAAACGAGATTCGACTCTATAATCTTTCCCGGCCATTGAAAAAAAAATCTAAGAATCACAAATAAAAAAAAATTATACAATGCTACCACATAATTCCAGCATTTGGAAATGGTATCGCTAATTAGTATAATCCTAGCAGGTAAATATTTCTCACAACCTTTTTTTTCTTTTCTTTTCTTTCTTTTGAGGGGAATCTGGGCGTTGCAGCGCGGGCCCCGAAACCCGGCGTGCAAAGACCGCAGAGTTTCAACGCCGCTCCCGAAACAATTTGTAACGCGCGACAAAGACCATTTTGATGATTAAAACTGTGATATTATCATGTAATTGTAGTTATTATTATCATTACTATTATTACTATTATTATTATTATTATTACTATTATAGTAGTAGTAGTACTATTATCATTACTATTATTCTCATTATTAGTCATACTTTTTACCATTAATATTATCATTATTATCCTCAACATCATCCTCATTAATATTATTATAAAAATCATTATTCTCTTTTCTAGCGCGCACTGCTAGGACTACGACATGGATCGTTATAACCAATACCAATACTCCTATTACTATCAATATTAATACCTCGATTACATATACCCTTAGCTATACATACGTATCTTACATCATACGACCGTAAATCATACACATTATAGACCTCGATCATTTCAGTAGTATCACATGACATTAATTATCTATGTTCCCGACTCTCATTCGCTGAAAAAAAGGTAAATAAATATTTGCACATTAGCTCTCCTTTCTTCGCTTCAGCGGCGTGTTCTGAAACCGCTTTCAAAGATTTCGGAAATTTCGTATTTTTCTCCGATTACCGAGAGAAATAGTTAAACGCTGATATTTTAATTACTTTCGCTTCAACTACTGCTTTTATTAGCGACTTTTTAAGAGTGATTTTCATCGCCATTCATCGTTATCGGCGATTCATTATTACGAGCATTAATATCATTATCACTGATACTAAAATCTTGACCACGATCACAAGAGACACATTATAACAAACCAGAATAATAATCATAAGAAAAAAAAAACGGAATAATCCAAAACATATAATTTTTTTTTCTCTCTCTATCGTATATTCCAATATCACTTGCTGACGTGAAAATTTCGCTGATAGTCAGTCAGTGTATTATCGCAACCTGTGTCGGAGTGTACTGATTACCTTTTCAGCGGCCTTCTCGCTATCTTTTATCGTGTCCAGAGAGAGAGAGAGAGAGAGAGAGAGAGAGAGAGAGAGAGAGAGAGAGAGAGAGAGAGAGAAGAGAGAGAGAGAGAGAGAGAGAGAGAGAGAGAGAGAGAGAGACGTCTTCGCACTACAAATTATCTTTTCTCGATCTTTTATTTTTCTGGTTTTAAGGATAAAGGAAGAAGAGCTGAGGGAAGAATAAGACGAAGGCGAAGGCGGAGAAGACAAGGAGTTAGAACTTCAAATTCACAAGGGTGCGCGGATAAGGGAGGATTAAAAGAAGATCAACCAAGAAAAAAAAAGACGAAGGAAAAGACGACGACGAAGAAGAAAAAGAGGACGAAATAAGAGAAGAAGAAGAAGAAGAAGACGTCGGCGAAGAAGACGAAATGGAAGAATAAGACGACAGAAGAAGAAGACGTCGACGAAGAAGAAGACGAAATAGGAGAAGAAGGAGAAGAAGAAGAAGACGACGACGACGAAGGCCTCATCCATTGACATTTACACCCCGATCAGGGCCCACTAATGGAGTCCCGGCGAAGGTATCGATTCAACCAAAACCGTTCACGGAACACTATCGATGTCAACTTTGAGCAGCCTCGACGGTGGGGGAGAGTGAGAGAGCTCCGGATCCCGCCCGCCCGCCCGCCCGCCAGCCGCCCCTCATCCTCTCTACCCGCCCACACGCTCCTCTCTCCGCCCTTCTGCCCGCCCGCTGCCCGAATCGGATCTCCTCGAAAAGGCTTGATCTGAAACCGTGTTATTTTCCCTCCATCCCGTTCGTTATTCGGTTACGTATTCCTCACAACGAAGAGGCTGAGATAAGCAACTAATATACGATAGGGAGAGCGCGGGGTCGAAATCGATCTGCCATTATTACCGTCATCGTTACTCCACTGTCGCAATTTTTGTCGTTGTTTGACATGCCCCTTGTACTGCGTGATCGCTTACACATCTAATCTCTAGGATGCGAGACTGAAAACAAGCCGGGCGGCGCTTGTAGCTTTTTAGGCACTTGTACTACACCGCATGTCAAGGGGCGCGCCATACCGCCGAGCGAGACCTGGGACTCGTGATCCGAACTCATCTTGGATACGGAGATGCAAGGCTTAATTGTGTTCGCTATCATGCTGATAAGATAAGCCCAGGATACTGATATCTGTGAAGGCGATCTGATTCTCCGATCGGAACTCGGTTAGGCCGCATTCGGACAATCCTCCGACGTGACGTACCTTGTCTGCGGTCTGCATGAGCTGCGTCTGCTGGATGAGGTTGACCTGCAGCTGCTCCTGTAGCTGCTGCAGGATCTGCTCCAGCTGTTTGCGACCCAACTCAGCCAGCTGCTGTTGCTGCTGCTGTTGATGGAAAGATACGGATTATCATGTGTTTGCTAGACACACGCACACACACAAAAAAGTGGATAGTAAATTAATATTAATGGGGGAAATCAAATAAGTACGTGTAGTGATAAATCACTTTCCTGGATCTGTAGCTCATGAATAAAATTAGCGTCATGATTCACCTCCGCGCAGAAGTAGTCCTCTGCCCTCGCCCCGCATGCAACGCCGCCTCCCCTCTGCTGCATGATCCGTTCACATGCAAGTCTGGCGCCCCACCCACGTCGCCTCCACCTGCTTGCTACTTTGACACCCGCTCGTAACGCCTCTTTCCCTCTCCCCTCTCTTTCGCTCCCTTCTCCCCTCGCTCTGACCCCCGGCCCTCCGCGCCTCCCGGGGCCCTCCACCAACCCCACCCCCTGTTTCCCTTCGGGATATTTGTAACATCAACTCCTGTGTACTCACGGCGGCGCGGAGGGACGCAGAGGGAGGGAGGGAGGGAGGGAGGAGGAGGATGGGGGTCTTCATCCCTCTCCTCCCCCCCCTCCCTTTACCATTCCCTCCGCCCCATATTCTCGGTCTACCATTCGTCTGTACTTAACGCATGTTGTTTTATTTCTCTATCTATGTGGAAATGATTACCTCATGCCACGCACGTAGGTGATCAATCTCTCTGAGGCCGCTCCTTCTCGTTAGAACACAACCCTTCACCGTTTCGCTTACAATACTCTCTTCACATATAATATAAAATATAAATAAATAACACATCGCCCAACTTCAAGCGTTTGCCGAAACCCCGAGCTTCATTTAGTTGAAGTCCCCCAAAAGTACAGCGGCAGCGGAGACGGAGTGACCACGGCCGCCATCACCTACCTGTTGGATATTCATGCAGTGGGATTATTATTTATCTTTTCTCTCTCTCTGTCTTTCTTTTTCTCTTTCTTCTTCTTCTCTCTTCTCGTCCCCACTCCGTTGAGACAAGTTCTCTTTCTCTCCTACACTTGCTGTCTCTCTCTCAATCTATCTCTATCTCTCTACCTCTCTCTCTCTTTCGCTTCTTCCTCTTTCACCAATATATTTACTTCCCACAATCGTTCGTGTTTGTCGCTTATTTACTGATGCCCGGCGTTCGTGCTGGTGCTAGTGGCTACTCCAGCACGTTCCCCTCTTTACACGCTTTGCTGATCCTCTTAAAATACATGTAAGTACACACACCAACCCGGCCAAGTGGACAGCAAAATAAACTCAAATTTTGTGCGATATCTGTTTCAGCCAAAAGAGAGAGAGGGGGGAGCGGGGGGGAAGGGGGATAGATACTGGGGGTGGGGGAGATCTGGAATATTTAGGGAGGAGGGGAGGGGTGGCAGGGTGTATACAGGAAGGGGAGAAGGGATAAATAAATAAAAAATAAAAAAAAACGGAAAAAAAAGAACAGCAAAAATAACCTACGACTTCCTACTCTGGTCCGTTATCGCGAAACTCCGTGC